CCCCCCACCACAAAAAAAACACTTATAGTAATATAATGTATAGAATATATTCGTAATAAAAATAATGCAAATAATATTAAAATGCTGAATCTGCCATAAAATACTCTAAAATATATTAAGAATTGTCACTACCTAACTACACTAGCATTGGGGTCTTGATTGGATTCGGAAATGTATCTGTGTCGGCGGAAAAATCAGACATTCGATGATCTAGAATTAATTAAAAAAGTATTATTTATTTTACATATTGTTTTTAAAAATACAATTACATATAATTGTTTCTAAAAAAGTACAATTTTTAAACAATTAAAAGTTTATATGATAGATAAAGTAGATATATTTATTAATAATAATATAATATTATAATACATTAATGCAATTAATTACTATGTATACATTTTTCTTGCCTTGGATGAAGCAAATTTATAGATTACTTAATCAAGGTCGATCCTTTTAATCGTTGTCCTCCTTTCGGGACAAAGTCGTGTTATCGTTTTAAAATAAAAAGCGGGAGCTCTACGTGCATTTCGTTTAAAAAAGTAAAAGTATATCTCTATTTTAGAGAAGTAAAGTGATCAGAAAGAATGTTTTGTATACGGAGATATTTGGTTGATGTACTGCAAACGTTTTATTACACATTTTATCAGGCAACACAAAGAAATAAATAATTAATTGTGTTACAATTATTATTAATTTAAAATACGTTTTCCAAAAATTGATCAAAATAAAAACTTACATTTTCCGGAAAATCTTGTTAGGAGACCATTTGGCGCCCCCTTGCGAGCGGCTCCCGGGCATCATACGCCCCCTTGCCCCTCCTTCGCTACGCCACTGTTGGTAACAACAATTTGCAAGGAGACACGGGTATTTATAGTGAAACAACGCAAAATGCCGCTTCGAAACTAACAGCCTTTCTAGGCTACCTCTCCTTTGGGCTAATAAATTAAATTAACAGTAAATAAAAAAATCTTATTCAGAACTAAAAATAAATTTAAAAAATAATCACTATAAAATACAAGCAAAATTAATTATTACGGATAAATACAATTTTAATATTAGAATTAAATGTATAAAAATTAAGATGTCAAAAGTGTTTATCACTGTGATGTATTATGAAGTATAATTGAAATAAAATTCCTTTATATAAATTGTGCTATAATACTCATCTATAATTTTAAAAAAGCAGCACAATTTAGAATTTTAAATAAAACTTTCAAAAATTCGTTTTTAAACATTTTAGTATTTTTTACTCATTTACACCAATAAAAAGCATAAAAATTGCAAGAGAAAATTGCTTGTTTGAAATTTTCTGTTAGTTCAGATTTAAAATATTATTTTCTAAAAGAAGTAGTTACGAATTTCCTTATAGCATAGGAAAAGCTAAAAAAATATCCAGCTCTGAAAGCATGTAATAGCTTTATAATTATTTGGAGCGTTAATTATGCTTGATAAATATGCTAAATTTTTTTAAATCAATCTCCGTTTTCAAAATAAAAATATGTAGAAATTCTAATTTGTGAAATGAGGCGCTACAATCAGCTTTTTCATGACAATTATAGACGTTGCAATAGTCAATCACTGTTAAATTTCTGCATGTCGTCCCTACTCCTCCGGATGTGGTTAAGGTGACAGCCGGGGACGCGTCAGACGAGGGAGAAAACCCATTTGGGTTGGTCTATTTCTTATAAGGTCCATGGGCGAATGATTATTTATTATACTTTCCTTTCATTACCGTATGTTTATCAAAACATGACGAGTTGAGTAATGACTCATGATACATAAACTTTTTTTTTTTTTTTTTTTTTTTACGTTAGTATTTGAATAATAAAGGAGTGTAGTAACCTTTTATGTTGACATTACGCTTGGCTATGATTACGGATTTCAATTGCGCTAAAAAAGGTTGACGAGGAAAAATTTACCAAAAATTTCTTTCTATATCCTAAAAATAGTTTTTCTTGATGATACTCACTCATAGACCCAAAGATTACATTTAGATCATAAATACTTTTATTATTTCATAAATCGCGATTTCATATTTTTAATTTTATAATTTCTACATGCTATCTTACTAGATTTAAACTGATGATCTGTTATCCGGAAAAATCCCAAATCCGGAATCGCCGAAGTCCCGACGAGTCCGGATTTCGGACTTTGTATTGTAATTTTAATTTCAATATAGTGTAAGGATCCTAAGTTTTACTAACGTTTATTTTGTTTTAAATCTTTACTATCACTTCTTATTTTCTGCTTCCGGCCAGAATTAAAAGCTTTATTTTATTTATGCAAATTTGTCTTGCTAACGCCAAGTACTTAAGTTGTGGCTTTTTGCCAAGCAAGAGAGAGGAAGGAGTTATTAGAAGCAGGCCGCTTGCCATAGTAGGCAAGCGTATAACTCGTTTGCTGGTTGCCTTCAAGGCCAGAGGTTTAGTCCTCTTGATAATTTTAAACGTATCGTAGTGTTAGCAGCTCTCTGTACTACATACGGGTTTTGTTAAATAACGGCCAGCCTTAAAGGTTAGGCACTTGTATATTAATCCAAAGTTAGTTTTAGTTAGAGTTTTAGTTAATATTCTTATATTCTTACGTTCAGACCACAAGTGGTGGGTCTCTGTATTCCGAAGTTCCGGAAATCGCTGTAAAGATAGAAAAATAAAGGGTTTTGTATACCCTTCCTGTGTGTATTGTCTACTTCACAAATTATTGAACATAGCTTGAGTAAGCTCCCTGTTCCGAGTCAGGACAGTTCATGTTTCCAAAGCAAGTAAAGAGGAATACAAGTCCTGATAATAGCATACGATAGAATTCGTATTTCTGAAATCATTACTAGCTATTATGTTTCGTGATATGGGATCTTTATGTGTGTTTTCTGTATTACTCCAGCTACTAAGTGATTAAAGGAATAGTTCATATGTTTTTGTTTACTTCAATTTCACTAGCTATTTTTCAGTTCAACACAATTTTAGCTTTCATGGAATTATACACAAATAATTATTAAAATAATATACTCTAGTTTTAAAATATTAAATCTAAACTGTAAAATGTAACTAATATTTTGAATTTTTAAAATATTACTACGAAAACTTTTTAATAACACTCAAAAAACAAGTTACTTTAAAAGAAAAAGTGATATTTCCACATTAAGGGGAGGAAAAAATTAAAAGTATACGAGAACTTTCTTTCTATATTTGGCTATATACGTTCTACTATCAATAACTGATTACAATAATCCAGACTTCCAATATCTGGAATGATCTAAAATCCGGATCTCCGGACTAGCAGCAATTTTTTTTTTTTTTTAAAGAAATGTTTTGTATGTTTTACACATGTGCATTTCATATTTTTCCAGATTCATAATTTAACTTAGGCACTAAATAAAATGCTTCCATATTAAAGAAATAATAATTTATTAGCATGAATATTTATGAACAATAAATAATTTGTCTCCGTAATCGCTCTTTTGCTCAGCATATATCTCGAACCGAAATATTCTTTATCAAAAACATATCCCTGACCCTAACGTGAAGAATCATTATTTATTATTTTTTGCTTTCATTACTGTATGACTATCAACACACCGCAGCTTGAGAAATAACTCACGCAGTGATGTTTATACAGTTTTTTAAATAATAGTAATTGAATGCGAAAGAGCGTGGTATTGTACATTGACATTACGCTTGGCGATGAGCTAACTCTCCTGTGAGGTGTGTGTGTTGATGACGAGAAATTTTAAGACACATTTCTTTCCAAATAAAAAAAAAAAAAAAAAGAAACTTTTGTAAATGATATTCTTAGGCCAAAAGATTACATTTAGAACTATTTGAATTGAGAATAACTGATTTGCTATTTAGATAAGCTCAGCATTGGTGTGGCCACACTGGCCAGCAAAATTTTTAGAATTCAAAGAAGCACCGATCAGTAAAATTAAAAGACGGCAAAAAGTTTAGAGATTAGGTAAGTGCTTGGCAGCAGAATTTAGAACCTGCATGAGACTGCACCGGGCCATAAAATGTCTAGTAGGAGCATTAGATAAGACTGAAGTATATGTGGGAATTTATTTATTCGGGACTCAGATAACGCTTAAGCATGTGGGGAAATAGGCAGATGTATAACAAATAACTAATATAATTCAGCGTATGATAGAAGCAAGACAAAATTTAGTGGAAGAACAATACGTTTTTAGTCGCCAATCTCATGATCCAATAGTGTCTAGTGGAGGCTTGGTAAGCTTTATTGTGATTCGCGAATTTGAACGTTTTTCAGATATTGCAAACAAAAGTAAAGTTTTCCAATTAATGAAATTTGTAAAGGAATGTGGAGAAGTAATAAATGAAGATGATATAGCTGGTGTTTTTTATTGCAAATATAATGGCCCAGTAAGTTAATGGATGTCAATATCTGATTATGGTTCTAGAAAATTCACTATTGTTAGTGAAGAAAATGACAGAATTGCTGAGAAAAAAAACACATTTTTATTGACAGTTTAATGGGAATTTTTGACATGATAGCTGCAGACCGTGAACAGTGGAATCTTGCAACCGAACAAGAAATTATGTCCATATAAAGGAAAAATACTAACACAAAGAAACGGAGCAACTTAAACAACTTGCATTGAAAGAAATGTTCAATAAAGGAAGCAAATAAACACTAACTTTCCTTTTCTTTCCCTTTTTTTTTTGGTAAACTTTGATTACCTAAAGGTCATTATGCTTCATTATTTCATAAAGTACTACTTTGTATTTTAATTTTATAATTTTTACATGTTATCTTACTAGATTTAATCTAATGATCTAATGTCTGGAGAAATTCCAAATTGCCAAAGTATCGATGAGTCCGGATCTCGGACTTTGTACTGTATATGAGGAAGCTAACAGAAATTATAAAAAATTGTAGTAATAGGTCGTATGATAAGTTTGTTTTGATTTTAAATCAATATAAATATAGTTTTTCCTAAAAATTAATATCATAAAATCTGTGTCATATATTATTTTTTTCCCGATTAGGTTTATGTATACTGATGAATTGGGAACAAATGACTGCAGTGTGATTCTGAATGCTCAACGTGCAGCACGTCATTTTAAGCAACAGGGTCTGCTGAAAGAATGTGAAAAGGCTATTTCAGCCTGGGAAATTACTATCGATAATGTATGGGATATGCTTAATCAGTCTGTGGATATCCCAGATCTCTCTAATCGCTGCTGCCAGTTCATCGAGCAAAATGCTGATGCAGTTCTACAGTCTGAAGCATTCCTGAAAGCTGAATTAGAAAGTCTGTGGATAGTTTTAAATTCTGGAAAATTGAGTCAAGTAAGTAGAAGCATACTCTTTATTAAATAAATATTTATGATAAAACTTCATAACTCTTATTTTTAAGATATTAACCAATGAGCCATACATAAAGTTAAAAATGCAGGTAAAAATTAATAATACTGTAGTTTAAATCCATGAATATTTAAAGAAAGTGCCGATATGCATGAACTAAAGAAATTGGCTCATTAGAATCACTTCTGAAAGTTAAAACAGTATTTTTGACAATATAAACAAATATTGGTGTTGATAATTATATGGGTTTATCAAATGAAAGCCGTTTGCAGCCAGTATACGCAATAGTAATGACTGTTTGTAACTGCACTGCATGCATCATGTACAGGCATCCATGATGAGCATATCACAGCATTTGTTCTTCAGAAGACATCATGATAGGTGTTCAGACATTTGTCAAATCCTGCATCATATAATATTTTGAAGCATTGACAAATAGTTGCCTTCACCTTAATATCTAAGTAAAATTTGTGATGCTGTAACTTGCCTGGGAACACAAAGTCTTCTTTTAAATCACAGTTTTGCTTCACACTTTTTTTTTTAAATAGCGTGTTTATAATGAAGAGGGAAAATGTTTAGTGTTGTAACTAGAACTCTTGGGCTCCTATATGAAAAAGTGAAATGCTCCCCTCCTGATTGATAATGCTGCAAGAAAAAGTGGAAAAATATTCAAGGGTCCAAACTGCCAGCTTTTTCAAATGCCTTTCGATGCCTTTCTTTTTTCAGAGCCTTTCGATGCCTTTGGCAGAGCTAGATGAAGAGGGTGGAGAAGCAGACAGCAAGCATTCGTATAAGAAACAGTCATATGAAATTGGTTATCAGATTTTATTAACCAGTACAGCTAGGAAAAAAATAATGGCTCAATTTAATCTCAAAAATAAATAAATTATACGCTCTATCAAGTTCTTACCCAGCCCTTTTTCACAGCTGTCGACCATAGACATATACTTCCAAAAACAAGAATGTTTTAAATGATGCAAAAATTCATGTTTTGGCATTTTTCAAACTTAAAGAAATAAATTGTGTAAAAATCATGAAATCTGAATTTTTACACATTCCTCTGGCCCCTGTACTTATGTTTAGAAAAATTTCTTTCATCTTATAAAAAATAAAACACTAAAAGTTTGACTCCTCTGGGCAAAATTTAACAGAAATATTTGATATAGATATCAAGAATTATATTCAGGGGCTTCATAAAAGTGGAGGTTAAAAATGTTTGGATTTGCGTGTAACTGAAAATGAAGTGCTGGTTAGAAAGTTTTCTGGTGTTAAGAGCATTTCTGTGCAAGTCGTAAAAAATATTGGTCAATATAATTATTTTTCAAAAAGATGTTATTCACAGAATCTTACAGAAATCGTGTTCTAGAAAAAACTGGTAGGCCTCCAATGTTGGCATGTAGCCAACTCATAATATTATTTGTGTTAACTAAAAATGAAAAGTATTTATACTTCATGAATTTTTTATGATTACCAGATTATGATTCTAAAGTAATAGAACTTCGCGAGATAATTAATAATGCATTTTTAGACTTTGAAAACTTACATGTTATGTAGGATTTTCCCAAAGTTTTAAATTCAGGTATAATATACTTATTTCGTTAGTTTTCATCAATATTGCAATGCAGTTTTTTAACATAATCCCCATTTAATTGAATACAAATATCGTAACGGAAAACTTAAATTTTCAAAGCAATTTTTTGGTGGCTCCTCTCTCGACTAATGGTTAAACTCTCATACTAAACACCTCGTAAAGTACATTCTTAAATGTTAAACGACGTGTGGGAACAGAATACTCCTAACAGACAAACAGTATCTGAAGTTTTCACACCTTCTTTCCACAAAAGGAAAATGATTGCTGTTTGCATCTTCCATGGCTGCAGAAAGCAATGTTAGAAAAGTGCACCTATGTCAATCAAACAACTGAATCGAACTAAAACGTTTTTGCACAGAATAGCTACATAAACATGCCAAGAGCACTGCCTGCAAATTATAGGAATTGATCTAGATCTCAGTGATATGTCAGCTACGAAAATTGAGATATATTAAAAATTTATTAAATATCACATATCCCAATATTGTAATTTAGTGTATAAAAATCACCAAGAATATTTTTTATTGTTTTGTTTAGGCAGTATGACTAAAATGTTGCTGCTTATTTACTAATATATTGGGAATAGCTAAGGAAAATGGAATAACTAGATTGTGGATAATTTAATATTGCATAGAAGGCATGTTAAAGTAAAGTAGCATGCTTGCAGTTGCTTCTGATAGTGATGATTTGAAAAACGTTATTTATGTAAGATCTATTTATTAATGTAGTCATTCATTATTTAAAAAAGTAATAATATTAAACCTGTTTTTAGTGACACATGTGCTTTTATTTTTTCAGATTCCAGTTTATGAACTCATGCAGAAAGTGCTTCATTGGGGAGCTGAAAAGCATACAGAATTGTCAGATTATTCTGTAGTGAGAGAATTGTTGCTGTCTACAGACAAACCCATTATGGGCTTGTTGGGATTTGAAAAACTGAAACAGGATGAACTTGCTAAAGTGGCTGCCAACTACAGGGGCCTTCTCCTACCTGAAGAAGTTACAGCCCTTCTTCTGAACACAGTTTCACCAGGATTAAATTTGCCTGACTGGTGTCAGCATGGCTAAGATGAGGATAATTGAAATAAAAATTAGTTATTTTAGCTGTATTTGAAGAATATTTTGCTAAGAGTTGGATATAAAAATAAAGATTACAAGAAATTTTGTTAAAAATACATTTCATGCAAATCATTAATGTAAGGTAGTATTGTCTTATATAAAGCATGTAAGGACAATCTACTGTAGCTTCTTAACGGTTAAAACCATCAGCATCCGAAGATGAAACGAAATTCTGACATATTTTGTATAATTAATATTAAAACAATGTAACACAGCATTGAGTCATAGTGTTCTACTTTTTGACTTATCCACGGGTGATCCTGTTTCATGAAATTTTATTGATGGCTCATAAATAGTATTTATCATGAGTAATGAGATATCTGGAAAACTTTGCTGCCAAGCCTTCCCATGTTTAACATGAATACGAGCTAATTTCCCTTAGAAATTGCTCTCGAAAGTATCCTTTCACATATGCCTCATTGTTTCCTCGAGTGCTTTGCCATAATAATTCAATCTAACCTTCCGGAAGTTTTGAGATTTTTTTTCCATGCTTAACGTAAATACGAGCCAGTTTCCCTTAGAAAGTCCACATGAAAGCATCCTTCCACATGTTGCCCTCGAGTACTTTACATAATCTAAACAGCCCAGTCCAACATTCCATAATTTCTTCTTCATTCTTTCTCGCAATTTCCCAGAAGACAGAAGATTCTTGCTTATTAGATTCTCATATATATTCATAATTATACAACTATACCGTATCTGTCATTGAAAATGCAGCACCAAGGAGGGGCTAGAAAAAGATGAAACTTGGCAAACAGAGAGACAGCAACAAACAATAAGTGGTCTTTATTTTGGAAATGATATGCATAATACACAGCGAGAACAACATCGGTTCAGTAGGTATTAGGACCACCTTTGATGGCTTAAAACGAAGTAACATGTCTAGGTACAGAGTCAATGAGACTACGAATAGTATCCTGAGGAATGGTTCTCCATTCCCTATCAACACTTTGCCACAGTTCATCTTCTGAACGCGGCAATGGCAGGGTCTGCAAATGGCGTCTAATCACATCCCAAATGTGTTCAATTGGTGAGAAATCAGGAGAGAACGGTTGCCATGAAGCATCTGTACATCTTTGCAAAACACGTTGGATGATGCCAGCAGTATGTAGTAGGGCATTATCCTGTTGGTAGAGGGCACTGGGAATTCGGTAGGGAAGGCACATGATCCACGTATCGTTGGACCGTCATATTGCCAAGAATACGAACTAGAGGTGACTAGCGCAATTGACTCGTATACTATACTGTGTTAAAAATTTTATCAACTTTTACTATTAAAATTTTTACATCATGGAATAAATAAGTGAAAATTCATTTTAACTTCTAAAGGGTTGCCCTGAACTGCCTTGCTTTCATTTCGATATCCGTGTCTATGCTGAAATTCGATTCACAGAGGAACACTGCTGTAAACGTTTTTTTAAGAAACTTTAATTAACATGTGAAAGATACTTACACTATATTTACAAGTTACAATCAATACAAACATTGTGTTTCTAACATATACGGAGACGGTCTATCGTTGCGACTTATGTTAGACGCGTCACCAGTTCAACTAACTACTTTTAATCTCTTCCGACAGAGGGCGTTCATGGAAGCTGAGTTTTAGTAATCAAACACGAATCTCTGGCTCGTACGGATTTGCGCTCCCAAACCATGAAGCCACGTTGTCGCGCGGTGGGGCGTTCCACAATTGCTGCCGAATTAGACCTGTCTTCCACATCGACGCCACACTCGTATGCGGCGACGATCATTGAAGAAAAGAAGTATGACCGTGGGCTTAGACATCAATTTATATGATGGACCATGGGCGTAAGACCTCAATTTTCTTCTCACCGGCTCCAGTCAGAGTTCGAGCATACATAAATGAGGCACCGTATTCTCTCGTATTCTTCATATCTTCCCCTCAGAGGAAAAATATTCAGGTTTTTACATTGCTTTTCTACTTTGAATGTCTGGGAAGTATTGCCACGGCAATAGATACCCAGAACAACACAGCAGTATCGCAGTATGACCTCAATATCAACTGTTTACGAAAATTTTACACAATAATTCCCGTCCACAGAACAAGCTTAGAATCCTTCAAATAAACTTAGGCTGAGAAAAAAAAAAGCTTCAGAACACCTTAGTGAAGTTCTTGAAAATAACAATCATATTGTAATTTACATTACTGAACCGTATTGCGTAAAAGCTGAAGTTAGAATCCTTCCTCTTCACTGGCAAATATTTCAATCTACTCAAAAAGGACCTCTGGTTAACCCACGTGCCATTATTATAGTCACCAATACCAAATGGTCCCCTACAATCATATTAAGCCATAGAGATGTGATGACGATAAGTGTTAACTGTAAATATGAACAGCTACTAATTGCTTCCATTTATTGCTCACCCCAAGAGGATATAGGGCCGAATCTCCAGATATTAGAAAACATCTGTAGTACTCTCAGAAGATCGCAGCACGTGATTACAGGTTACTTCAATGCCCACCATCAAATGTGGCATTACAATAATACAGGTAACAGAGGACATACACTTGCGGACTTTATTGCTACACACAATTTGTATATACATAACCTCTCTTTAAACGCTCCTACATTTGAAACAGCAAATGGTAAAGGATGGCTGGACTTAACACTGTCAACATTGAGTATTTCCAATAAAATACATGAATGGAAAGTTCTTGATGACCCAAATCGCTTAGATCATAACTACATCTCATTTGAATTATCAGAAGAAATGCCCGACCTCAAATTAAGATTTTCAATCTCAACGCAGAAAGCAAGGCAGTTTGGAAGAAAAATCTCCACCGGTCTTCAGTATGCAGAGAAATTTATTATTAAAACAATACAGGAGACAGCGACCAACATCTTTAAAGTCCGTAACAACAACAAGAATACGAAGACTAACTGGTGAACAAAGGAATTAAGATGTCGAAAGCAACATACAAAGGTTCTTCGTAGAAAAGTTGAAAATTCTCCGGACGGGTTGAAAATGGAAATATGGATAAAATATAAGCAATAGAAATTAGCAAATTAAAATGATATGCAACAATAATATGAAAAAAAAGATGCTGTCTTCCTGAAAGGTAATGCAGAAGACGATGGCCATTCACATTCCGATATTAGATACAATAATACCGATACGGATACTCCAGACGATGTGGAATTTCGCTCACAAGAAATTAAAAAATTTATTAAGTATTTTCCGAATAATAAAGCTCCGGGACCTGATGGATTAGACAACAGGATTATTAAAATAATTCACCTTGCAAAACGTTTTCTGTTTCATAAACTGCTAAACCTCTGCCTCAAATTTTATGTCTTCCAGAATTGTCTCAAACAGGGACAAATAATACTGTTCAAGAAAAATAATAAAGATTCAAAGGATCCGGAAGCCTTCATACCAATCAATCTCTTACCTGCAATAAGTAAACTACTGGAACGTGCAATCGCGGACAGAATACGCCACGACTTAGATAAGCCCATAAGCCCCAACCAATACTGCTTCAGGCCTCTCAAATCTAATCACATACGATAGCAGAACTCCAAGAGCAGATCATAGGAATAAATCTTCAGCTCTCCATATAGCAGTACTCTGTATGGACCCCCAAAATGCATTTGACTCTGTGTGGTGGCCTGGTATCCATGAAACCTCGCGCAACATTAAATGTCCTCAGAACATATTCAAGCTAATGAATAGTTTCTTAACAAATAGAGCAACAATAATCATCAGCAACAACTGCATAGTAGAAAGAAGAATAACAAGGGTGTGTCCACTCTTGTATAAGTGCAGACCTGTGGACCTTCAATTATATCATCTCCTTTAAGTGGCCCGGACCATACAATGCTCATTGCCTTTGCCTAAGATGTGGTATTTCTAACAAATGGGCATTCAAGAGACATACTAGAAAAGAATAGTAATGCGACCCCATGTTCCATTCGCTCTGCATCAATCAAAAGCTAATAAGTTCAGAGCCCAAATCACATATTATTTTATTTCCAAAAGCGGGCAAATCGCTACAAAGGTTTCTTGCCTTAAAATCAATAACAGAAGAATCATGATCTCAAAAGGAATAAAAATTCTTGGATTGAAAATTGACCAAAAGTTTCCTTGGATTCCACACCTCATGGACATTCGGAAGAAGACCTAGACTATTTCTAGAGCCCTCGCAAGGATGCAAGGAACAACTTGGGGCCTTAAGTTGAGGATGCAAAACATCCTTTATAAAACTGTAATCGAAAAAATAATCCTTTACGGGGCACCAGCATGGGCTCACCTCTATGACAGTGAGGAAGAAAACTCCTAGCTTCGATTCAACGCCTCTTCCTTTTACAAATAGCAAAAGTATACAGAACTACCTCAACGGCAGCACTCTGTGTATTAACACGAATCCCACCCCTCCATCTGGAAGCAGAAGAAGATGCAGACTTAGCCACGTTATTTCACCTCAAGAAAAACATAGAGGTAGAAGATCAAGACTTGTGCCCACTTGATTTTGAGCAACCTCGATACCCTTATCTAAGACACCCTGCAGTACATGCAAAACTCAGAATATCAACAAAAGAAGAAACCCTCAGTGTACCTACATTTCCAGCAGTGTATGGATTTAGTAGGATGGTTCAAAGATAAACAAAGAACTAGGATGCGAGTTCTTAGCACTCCTCTCCGAACGAAGAAACAACAGAATAGAAGGGATACTTAAACAAAAACAGCGTTTTCCAAGCTGAGCTTTGAGCCATAAAACACCCTATTCTATGGGCTTATCAAAGACATTACGCATATGTTACCATCTACAGTGACAGCCAAGCGACAATAAAAGCTGTTGATGATGCAAAAAACAAATCATCGATAGTACAAGATATTTAAGATTTAATATCACAGCACAATAGGACGTCTATAAAAATAAAGGGGTAAAAGCGCATGCAGGACAAGCCCAAAATCAATGGACATATGCGCTTGCTAAGGATGTTGATCTAGACCCATCTCTACCATAATCAATGTCCCATTCTCAAAATCTTATGCGAAACATATGCTGAGAAACATTACATTAAAGAAATGGCAAGCTGAGTGGGAAAATGCAGAAGTAGGTAAAAGGCTTTTTAACTTCTATAAAAACCCAAGTACGTATGTTCCAATCTTATATAACTTCTTTATCAAGATCTTTTTATCTGGACATCTTTTTATCTTAATTTTTTCTCCACGTACTACTTTGCACGAAATCTGAGCGACTCAGAAAAGTGCGTATGTGGGGAAAAGGGAGACCCAGAGCACTTAATTTTGAAGTGCCAGCTCACAAAAGAGCTTGTTCCAACTAAAATTCCCTAAATGGATAAACTGATGTTTGCTTCTCCCGCGGCGAGGGGAAAATACAGTTAGAACACGCAGGAACGATGATATGGTAAGATGTGTAGATCCGGCACTGTGCCGCGTATGATATTTCATATTTTGTTTCAATCATGTTGTTATTGTTTTCAATAAATAATCAAAAGACAACTACTGTGAATTAAATGACTCAACACTTCAGAACGAAGATATCACAAAATTGTTGGTGACTCGGACGTGATTTGGGATTACTGCGAACCTTCTGATGGAATGTGAACCTTTCTTTGTTTTGGAAGTTTCTGATTCGCGAACATGGAATTGAGGTAGGTCCCTTTAGATTCAGTTCTTGAAGTATTATGATTTTGTATGTGATAGGAAGTTTTGAATTTATAGTGGTGATTTGATTATTTAGTTGATGTAAATTGATTTGAAATTTAGTTTTGAAAGCAGAAGTAGTTTATGCAAACATGGTGAAACGAATTGAAAGGTTAAGGCAGAAACGAAACTGCAATAGGCAGCTTTTTTGTAATTTTGGCAAAAATTGAAGACGCAATAAACAAACCTTTAAGTGAAAATTACAGTAAAGAACAAAAACTTGATGATCTTTATGCTCAAAGAAACCATTTGATTGAAAAGATAAAGAAGCTTAAGGGTTTAGATAGTGAAATAGAAGCGATAATTGGTATAGATGAGTTAAAAAACGAAATTGCTAAGAGTGAAGAATATCAGGAACGCGGTATTCAATCGAAAACGAAACTAGATAGGCATATAGAAAGTGCTTTTAACGGGGCTTTGCAAAATGAAATTCGGGTTAATGAAAATGTTAGGTTGTAACAACGTGTAGTAAGAAACGAAAATAGTGTAGTTAAGCTTCTGAAATTAAGTACTGAGAAGTTTTATGGTGATTGTAGCTCTTGGTTGGATTTGTGGAATTCCTACGAAGTAGCTATTCATAATAACAATTCCTTAAGGTTGGTGGTGTATTGAGAATATGGCAAAGCACACTAGGGCTATCTGCCTAAGGGGAGGGATGCCTTCGTAGAGGACTTTCTAAGGGAAACTGGCTCGTATACACGTTACACAAGGGGAAAACCACGAAAACGCCCATGCAGCCAGCCCGTTCGCGGGATTCGAACCTCGGACCGAACTACCAGTGTTTAGCGGTTTTACCGCTCGGCCGCTGGTGGACTTAAGTAAGGTTGAGAAGTTTACTTATCTGAAAACATTTTTGGGAGATACTGCCTTATCAGCAAGTTCGGGATTTTCGTTAACAAACGAAAATTATGATTCCTCAATTAAGTTGTTAAAAGAAAGATTTGGAAGGCTAGATTTGATTATAAGCTCGCACATGAATAAACTGTTGCTGATTGATTCCGTTAAGACAGGCGCGAACTTTCCGGCATTGCGAAGAATGTATGATACGATTGAGATTCAAATTCGATCATTAAAGTCTTTAGGTGTTGCAGCAGGAACTTATAGTAGTTTACTTTGCTCGGTAATACTACAGAAAATTCCAGAAGAGCTAAATTTGTATTACAATAGACAACGCGAATCGCGTGAATCATTTGATATAGAGCACTTAGTTGAGTTTTTGAGAAAAGAGGTAGAAATAAGAGAAGCGTCTTTTTTGTTATCAGGTTAAAAAAACTTTAAACGAAATGAAATTCCCTTTAGTAATAGAGGAACGAGTCAAAATTATCAGAAAAATTATGTAGACTCAAAACGAAACATTTCGAAAGCGCGCATTCCAACAACAGCTGCTTTAACAGCCGTAGCGAATGAAATGTGTAGTTTTTGTTCGGATAAATCTCACGAAACACATAAATGTCCTTTACCATAAATAGATAAAAGAATTCTTTAAAATCACAAGGGCGATGTTGCATTGTCTGAAACAAAGTTTTGCTGGAAAAAGGACCAGCTCTGCAAATAATGTAAAAAAACCTCACAATTATTTAAAATGCGATAAGACTGAACCGAGAAATAATACAGCCGAATCAAATAGTAAAGAAATGGGCAATAATTTATCTGCGGTACAGTCATTGCATTGCTTCGGAGGAAGTAAAAGGGAATCTAAACAAAACCGAGAGCGCCGAAGCGTCGTCCCCGGTTTTACTACAAACATTCAGAGCTATTGTAAAAACAAATAAAAAGAGCGAAATCTTGAGGGTGTTCATAGACGGCGGGAGTAACAGAACGTTTATCAGAAGGAAAACTGCGAACTCATTAGAATTGAAGGCTACCAGATGTGAAACGTTTGAAATATATGGGTTTGGTAGCGAGCTTAAACCTAAACAGCTGTATAATATACAGTTTGGCTTGATTTGCGGAATAGAACCAACCCAAGTAAATATAACGCTAGATTTTTGTTGGTAATTGATGCGATTCTGAATTACATAGAAGTTCCTTCAAAGTGGGTTAGAAACATGGCTTAAGTAAGGGAATACAATTAGCCGACATTGGAAATACGAAGGAGATACACTTGTTGATCGGCTCAGATTACATTTGGAAAATTTTATATGAAAGAAACATAAGATTAGGGAAGTACGATTAGTTATTATGGACAGTTTGTTTGGGTTTGTAATCTAAGGTAAGGAAATGGGATCGGATAATCATGGCAATTATGAGTATAATAAGACTTGTGTTAACCCATATCTCTGTGAAGGAACAAAGCAAATTTTGAAAGAATTCGAAATTTATGGGATTTGGAGGCTATAGAAATAAATCAGGAAAAGGAAATTTCGCGATCAGATGCATTTGTCATAGATATGTTTGAAAGAAATACCACGTTTAAAAATGGGAGGTTATGAAACTAAATTATTATGGAAGGAGGGTTGTAACACATTGAACAGTAATTATGAAGTTGCAGAAAGACGTTTGATAAGCTTAAATAATAAATTTAGGCATGATCTGCATCTGTACTTTCGTTATAAAGAAATAATTAATGATCAGTTAAGGGATGGTATTATTGAGCAAGTTGCATTTCATCGACATGAAATTGTGATAGACACATTGGGTATTTTATGCCTCATCATTGCTGTAGTACGCGAATCAAAGGAAAGTATGAAAGTTAGGATTGTGTATGATGCGTCGTCAAAAGTTAGAGATGGGCCAGTAACTCAATGATTGTTTAGATAGTGGTCCCAAACTTAATCCAGGTTTGCTTCAGGATTATTCTAAGATTTCTTTATCACCTCAATTGCGTTTTGTGCTGATATTAAAAAGAGCCATTTTTAGAGATTAGCATAGTAGAGGAGGATCGAAAGTTTTTGCAGTTTTTGTGGGGAAATGAGTGGGAAACCGAACTTGATTTCAATGGTCGTGATATCAGAATTTTACGAATGACACATGTTCCTTTTGGTGTGAAATGCAGTCCTTTTATTTTGACAGCAACTATACGACTTCATTTAAAGAAATATAAAATTTCACACAGTGAAGCATGTTCTATTTTGAAAGAACTTTATGTTGATGACTTAATAAGTGGGGCATCAACTGTTGAAGAAACAGTATCCCTTGCAAGAGACTGTAAATTTATACTGAGTGAAGCAAACATGAATTTACGGCAGTGGTCTTCGAATTCAGCTATCCTTAATCAAAGATGGAATGAAGCCCAAATGGAATGTCGGACGCCATCGAATCAAAGAGATATATCGTTAAAGGTATTAGGATTGATTTAGGACAATGATAAGGACACCTTGAAGATAGATCTGAATCAATTTACAAAATTTAAATATGTGACACCAACAAAACGCATAATTCTAAGTGCATGTGGCATCTGTTTTGATCCATTAGGTTTATCACCATTCAGTGTTAGAATTAAATTGATAGTGTAAAATCTTGGGGAAAGGGCTAAAAATGGGATGAAAATATTCCAGCAGAATTGGAATCTATGTTCCAGGAATGGTGGAATGAAGTAACCGAGCTTGACAGGCTTGTCATTCCTCGACCATATTTTGACGAGCTGGAGATTCAGCAGCTGGAAGTACATATATTCTCTGATGCAAGCCCAAAGGCATATGGTTCGGTCGCATATTTCAAGATTAAATACCATGACAAATGTACGACAAGTTTTATAATTTCAAAATGTCGTCTAGCTCCACTGAAGAAAATTACTTTGCCGCGATTAGAACTACTAGGAAACTCGATTTCCGCCAGATTGTCTGATTACATACGATCCACGCTTTCTTCTCTGAAAGAAAGTGACATTTTCATGTGGACAGATTCCACAATATGTCTACATTGGATTAGAATTGTTCGCAATAGAGTGTTGGAAATCGAAGAAAAGACAAATCCATAGAATTGGAATTTTTGCAACGGAAGGCTGAATCCTGCAGATAAACTTACTATAGGGGAGTAAGTGCACGATCTTTAATTAATGATGAAACATGGTGGAGAGGCCCCTTGTGGCTAATAGAAAGTGATGTTCTAAACAGTAAAGAAATACCGAATGCTGATATTGATACATTTGAAACGGAAAAGGAGAGAAAAAAAGGTCTGTATTGCTTTACCAACATACGTTGAACGTACCGATAGCTTGTTGAATTTGCACAGATACAGTGACTTATCTAAGGTTCTTCGAATCACTGCATACGTCATACGGTTTATTAATAATTGTAAAAGAAATTCTGAAAGGTGTAAAGAAGCGCTAACTGCTGAAGAGCTCGCAAGTGCTGTATAAATTTACGCTATTGGATTCGATTTATACAGCGAAGTGAGTTTGAAAAGGATCTTATTAAATTGACACGAAAGGAAACAGTTCCGATTCCAAATTATATGGTCTAAACCCAATTCCTGACAGGCAGAAAAGGACTCATATATCTTAATGGTAGATTGCAAAATTCTGATTTTCCAGTTTCAAGAAAAGCATCCATGGATTATACCGAAAAAAATTCGAGATTTACTGAACTGCTAATCAAAAGAGAACATTGAGAACTTACTTCATGCTGGTGTGTTCAGATACACTTACTCAAACTCGAGAAGCAAAAAGTATTGGATCATCCGAGTAAAATCGTGCTAAGAATAACGTGTTTTGAATAACTGTTTCGTTTGCAGGAAATTTAAGGCTAAATGGGGCGCTCAAGTGACTGATCCATTACCAGCGGATAGAATTCATGAAGCGAATCCTTTGAAATAACATGTGTTGATTGTGCTGGACCTTTGTTTACGAAAAATGAAAACAAGGTTTATATTTGTTTGTTTACTTGTGCAGTCACACGTGCAGTTCATCTTGAAATTGTTTCTAGCCTAAGCACCGAACATTTCCTTCTAGCATTTCGTCGCTTTGTATCAAGAAGAGGTGTTTGCCGAACTATAAACTCTGACAATGCCAAAACTTTTAAAGGTGCAGATGTAGAACTGAAGAAGTTATATGCAAATATTGTTGATCCATCTGTACAAAATTATTTTGGTACAAAAGGAATAAGTTGGCATTTTATTGTCGAAAGAGCAGCTTGGTGGAGTGGATACTGGGAGAGAATGGTGAAGATGACAAAAGGTATTTTGAGAAAAGTGCTAGGAAAGGCTTGAGTTTCCTTTGAAGAATTACAAACCATTTTGGCAGAAATAGAATCTATTCTAAATTCTAGACCACTTACTTACGTTTACAATGATCCATCGGAGCCATTCCCTCTCACTCCTGCTCATTTCCTAACTGGAAAAGGCTTAACATCCTTACCGCACCAGGCTGGTCATGTTAAAGAACATATTGCAAGTAACAAAAGGATTTTAATTAAAAGATATTTTCATCGGGAGAAAATTTTAAATGATTTTTGGAGACAATGGAAAAGAGATTATCTTCTCCAGTTAAAGGGTGCAAATTGTTTAAAACGTGTTAATGTAACCACTGATTTTAATATAAATGATGTAGTTTTGATAGGGGATGACAAACTACCTCGGCAGCTGTGGAAGCTAGAAAAGGGGATGGAGTTGCACAGAAGCCGGTATAACAAGGTAAGAAGTATCACAGTGAAAACTTTTTCAGGTGTAATAAAAAGGCCTATCCAAATGCTATATCATTTGGAACTTGGAACGAGATATGAATATTGTTTTAAGAATTTTCAGGTATCTATTTAGTATTTCTTTAGTAACTGAAATTTGTTACTTGCGTTAGTTATTGTTTGATGATAATTGTTTTCTTTTCTATTTGCATTTAGCTTGTGGTAGTTAGTAAGATAAAATGTATAGTAGTAGCTAGTATGATGATAATGTCCTTTATATACAAAGTATTCATGCTATGTTGTATATTACAAGTTTTGTAAAAGTATAAGATGTACTATTTTATTGTAAGATTTTTGAATTTATGATAAATGCCTTCGTCGCTAGCCGGAGGATGTTCCAACTAAATTTCCCTAAATGGATAAACTGATGTTTGCTTCTTCCGCGGCGAGGGAAAAATACAGTTAGAACACACAGGAACGATGATATGGTAAGATGTGTAGATCCGGCACTGTGCCGCGTATGATGTTTCATATTTTGTTTCAATCATGTTGTTATTGTTTTCAATAAATAATCAAAAGACAACTACTCTGAATTAAATGACTCAACACTTCAGAACGAAGATATCACAGAGCTAGACTGAAAAGAAGGGACACAAATTACGCCTAAGTACATTAAACACTTACTAACGATCTTTCAATTACAGCATAAGATTTCCTTGATTATGAAGAAACTTTTCTCTCATAAAAGAGAAGACATATGTCAAGACGCTATCGTGTCTGTATAAATACCATATATTTCACAACTTACAAAAATAATGCAAGATTTTAGATTGAAAATGCCTTAAATAGGCTAAATATGGTAGGAAGTGTTTTAAAAAAATGATTACGTTAAGAATATGTTAATGTAGTAGAAGATGAAAAAAAAAAAAAATCTTACAATAGCTTGTGATGTTGCGTGCCCCCAACTTTCCCGCCACAATAGTAGTGACTGCTATGAACTGGAATTACACAAACTCTTGAGAAGGGTTTAACTCCCTTTTTATTCCACTTTAAAAGTTACAGATGCGTTCAATTGACGCTCACAAACTACGCCGACCCGGCGGTTAACGAAAAATAAGAAAGTAAAACTAAAAATGAATAATAACAAGTCACTACCTACGAGGCTCTCTAGACGTGACTAACTTAACCGCGTTCTAAGACACAGCTGAGATTTCAGGAAACTTTCTTAATAAAAAGTTGAAAGATTCAACTAACTGCCAAAGTTTCACTAACTAACTGTGCCAACACACAGGCCGAAACGCGCGGTTCTTAAATTTCTACCTAGCAACCTTCACGCTCGTGAAGCAAGAAAGCACACTTACGAACTCGTTTCCCTCCTATTTAACTGAAATTACTTCCGCTGACAATTTGAATACTTTGCGCGTTCTACTAAAATTTACATACTCTGGCATTGGCAATTCCAGGGGAAAGTAAGGCTTGACAGGAAAGATAGCTTAAAATAAATGTTAGGTAAAATAAATATAAACCCTACAAGCTAAATCATTAAAAAATTTAAAAAATCGTTTAATATAATTTGAAGTAATTTGATATATTAATGTAAATGTAAGTGTTATTATGTGATGTACTAATGTATGTTTGATGTAATGATATATTAATTTACAAAAACAATGCACGATTTCAGAAATGTTGCAGTTGTCTGTATAATGATAAAAATGAAAGGAAAAGTATGAAAAGATAATTGCCTAAGGAATACGACAATGTACTAAGAGATGCATTTGATATTATACAATAATGAGTTCCTTAAAATGTTTGATGTAATTAAACATACTAATGTAAATGTATTGTTTGTATGATGCACTAATGTATGTTCGAAGTAATTATGCTATATTAATCTGCCATAACCCAACTTTTGTTAATCGATTAAGTTTATTGTAATATTTGCATACCGAGTTATTGTAATCGTATATTCAATACGAAAGTCTAGAATTAATATAAAGTATCTCTGTAAATGTCTTGTTAGGCCGGCTTCTGATGCGGACCAACCGAACGCCCAGCGGGTATATTAGTGCGGCGGAGCAATATCTGTAAAAGTCACTTACGAATTAAGACACAATAACACGCCGAATAAATACTAATTCAGAAGTCAAACAACAAAAATCAGCGTTATATTTACAAAATTTTCACAGGACTAGTTTCGATGGTTTTTACCGAACCACCATCCTCAGCTGCAAAACCGCAAATGAACAAGATAGGAAATAATGTTTAGACAAGATAAGAAAGCCTGGACAAGAATAAGCAAGTGGCGCCATCTGTTGGTGAAACCAGAACTAAAACATAATTTCTTTAAAGGCCGAAGGCAAATTTGGATTGGAATTAGGATCGTTAACTAGAACAGAAAGATTTTTATGAATGTGAAATGCCTCTAGAAAATCCAGTTCTCCAATGGAAGATGTTTTTTGAATAATTTTGGCAGCAGAAAAATTGAAAATGTGGTTTTCGGACCAACAATGTTGAGCAACAGAAGACTTCTGTGTTTCCTGTTTTCACTGACGAAATTCTGGTGCTCCGTCCACTTTTCCCTGTCCTTGTTTCAAATAACGTCGCCACAGCCGGTGCGGTTTGGAAGCGTGTGTGTCACCTGAGATTTTTCGTATGGACCAACCTGCCCTTCTCAGTCCGATCACCATACCTCTTGTAAAATTGCTGAAACTGCCTCCATTGACGACGGCCTCGCATTCTCTACTATTACACGCGTCCTTTGAGACAAGAACAAATTTTCTACGATTATATCCCTAGCAGCAGGTTTCTTCTCTTATATATTCTTCAACGTGCGCTGGAGAGCTGTGCATTTCACATCATTCGCATATCTCGGTGACGTGCGTCTACACTGAAATTTGTATAATTATAGGGCCACTACTTCTTGATGTTGCATTTTAAATGTCGCGTAGTGTAATAGTATATCATGATTATGATATGGAAGAGAATTCTAAATGCTTTTGAGGGATTTAATGGCATTTTAAAATTCTCTTTATATCAACTACCAAAATTTCACTTAAGCCAAAACCATTATTAAAGCTTCACAAATTGCTTTTTCGTATCCGTTATATCCACATATGCACCTGAAAAAGTATTTTTTTTTGTTTGTTTATTCTACTTTAGTCAATTAACTATTGAAATATTATAATCTTATGTCTTTTTATCTCACACTCGCGGGAATGAAAATAATAATAATAATAATAATTTTACGAAGGTCTCGTTTAGCGGACGTATCTTACGCAGGTGCGTCTACGAATCACCCACTCAAGTGATAATACAAATAGACATCTGGGACTGGCCTCAGATAAAAGATTGAATGAATCAA